AAAGTGGCTGCTTTATGGGAGATGGCATTTAGGCTGGCTAAGAGACACTGAATCATACAGTCACACCTGGCTCAACCATTTCTTCCTGCTGCTGTATTAATTTGGTGTGTCCAATTTGGCTCCTGCTAGGGGATGGCTTGGGAGCCAACTGGCATGGAGCCATCTATTAAATGTACTCGGTCTGTGTGCTGCTGACCAGCAGTGAGAACATGCTCTTTTTCATCTGGCATCAGAGTAGAGGACAGTACAACATAAAGATCATGCCAGATGAGATCATAGGTCTGAGCTAGGTGCCTTACCTCTTTGATATAGGTTGTCAGGTCTTTGGAAAATGAGCCTAAACATTTTTCAATTGATAATTTTAAAATGTACAGAATGTATGAGCTTTAAACAAGTACTATATTAATCTTAAAACAAAAATGAAGAGATAAATTTGAAAATATTTCCCATTTCTGAACACTGTCTGAAAAATTTAAAGTGAGTAGAAATGCTTTAAGGAAGAAGGAAATAAAATTCTTAAACCTGTTTGGTAAAAGAAGGAGACAGAAGGGTGTGGTTGGAGAATGATTTATATTTTATAAGAATTGGTTGACTGAGTTTCAATAGAGATTAATGTGCTGGAATGGGATAGGGAATGGATTGGAAGGAGAGAAGGGAGGAGCATAGGAATTTGATCCCTTTATCTGTGATGTTTAGTCTGGATGCTAAAGGAGGCTAAGTGGGATTATTTACTGGGTGGTATCAGAAAAACGAGAGATGAAATTTTATCTTCAGGTTAGTGTTGGAAAAGGAAGGTGATGTTTTAGTTTCAGAAGATTCTTTTTAACTGGAAAGTTACTTAAACATTTTGGCTGCAGTTTTAGGCTGGTGTCTGGAAGAGACCAGCATATCACCCATGCAACATTTTGCAGTGTAAAAGAAATCTTTTTCCTATATTAATAAATCTACTACAATTGATGAAATATAAAACTTTTAAAATGTTTCATTATTTCTTTTCAAACTCATTATTTCCAGGTATTATAAACTAAATTAAATAAAATTAATTTCTCTTCAAGCCTTCTACAACTTACTATACACTTTCAAATTTAGCTTTCACTGTCTTTTATATTCTGGCACAAGGAGACATTCTACTTTAAAGCAAACCTACTCTCATTCTCCCTCTTAAACAAAACCACACAAAACTTGTTACCAGTTATTTTACTTTCCCTCTTGAATCTCATACTATGCTAAAACTTTCAAATTTCATTCTCAAGGTGGTTTTTGTTCAGTAGACTAGATATATACTAATTTATTTCACATGTGTTCACTACCCCAAAAATGCTACATTTTAATAAGTGCAATAATCTAAACTGGCTCAAAAATAGTATGGCTTGATTTCATTTGGTTAAGTTAATATGATTTAAAAATATAAATACATATATGTATACACACACACACACACACACACATAACTACACTTTTTAAATCATGGAAGAACAATACTTTTCAAAGTAAAGAGTAAAGAAATAAAAGCTACTTTATAATGTACTAAGAGAACCTGCACAGGTTGGTAGATTTTACAGAGAGAAAGGAGCAAAACTGAAAGAAAGCTTAGATGGGATTTCTGATCATCTTTGAGTCCATTGGCACAAATTGTCAAGATCTGGAAGGGTTTTAAAACGAAAAGTCCCTCAGACTACTGGGAATTGTTATCTAGCTGATATTGTGGAAATGCTTGGTTGCAATAAAAGATTAGTCTCTTGGGGTGGAGGTCCTCAGCTAGGCCCAAGTTTGAAAGATAGACATTTGACTACTCATGGTGTTCAGGTCTGTGGGTGAGGGCAGCCAAGATTACAGAGCATCCTTTGAAAGCCAGAAGCCTCAGATTCTGGGAAAGACTAAGAGATGGCATGGGCATCCCCTCTTCGCAATCAATAGCCTGGAAGTGCCTGGCACTTGGGTGGGTTCCTGATACAGGCCTGCACTTTTTGGAAATATTGGATATATGCACAGACAGGAGTCCAGTGTGGACAGATCAGAATCTCCAGGGAGTTCAAAATGGCTGGAGGGAAAATGCCTGGGGATTGTTTCTGAACAGTGCCTGGGGAATTTTATGAGCAAATGGGCCTTTCTGAAGGAGAAAAATCTTTTCTGAGTCAGAAAAGGAGTATGAGAGTGCAAAGGCAGAAGTCAGGAGAATAGGGGCAAAGTTTTCAATGGGAAGAGGCACCAGATAACGCCCAGCAAGGACTCTTGCAGAATAGAGGTAGCAGTAGACAGGAAGTGAACAGTACTGATATAAACACAAAATGGATGGAAATAGACAACAGAGGATTTCCCCCCTCAGTCCATGTAGTTGTCCTTCCAGCCATGCCCCTCATGGAGTAAAAGTGTGTCTTAGCAATAGGTTGGGGTCCCTAGAGGATCCCCCAAATCACCACTAAGCCATATGACAACACCACGGAACCACGGGTGAGGACCCAATCAAACTCCGTGGCTTCAGAGTAGCGTCAGCCGTGGAGCCTCTTCACAAGCACTCAAAGCATTCATTCCATCAGCAGGCATACACACAAAACAGGAGAAGAGAAAAACAGGACTGTTTCTGTTAGGTTACCGTTGGACGCCTTGACACCATACATGCTGGGTGGTTCAAGAGAGAGAGAGTGAGGGGCGCCACACTCGCCCCAAAAGAGGGCAGAGGCGCAACACACCTCGACTCCGCTCCTGGGTTTTGAACACCAAAATGTTAGGTCTTCGCTCTGGACATAAGGCCAAGAACTCAAGGAAGGGACCAGAGGAAGAAAGAGAGCTAAAAAAGCTTTATTAAGGGGGCTCCCAGGAGGGACCCTTTGTTCTGGAGAGAGAGAGACAGACCAGGGGAAAACCACACCCTAAAGTGGATTAGGGAAGATTTTATAGTAGGGGTCTTTAGGGAGGGAAGGGAGAGACATTCCATTGTGGTTTAGCCAAGTGGGTGGTCTTCTAGGGAGTGGAGGGAGGGATACTCCATGGTAGTTTAGTCAGATGGGCAATGTTCACTTCCTTTGTTGACATGTTGATATTCCTTTTTCAAAAAAGAAAATTTTTTAAAGAAAATTAATTTTAATGAACGTTTACAGAGATTTTGGATTTCCATTCATTCATTGTTGCATTTTTCTCCCTGCCCACCCCTCCCACCCAGTTCGCTCTTCTCTTTGAAAAGTAAAAGAAAATTCTTTTATTGGTATACAATCTCCCTCCCTCATTCAGTACACTCCACTATGCTTCCTTCATTCCGGACTCTTGTCATAACTGTAATACCCAATCATGTAGCACTTTTAAACTATTCGCTCCCTCATCTGTTTCAATGCAGTATATATAATTTATCCAATTTTTCTCAGTCTCACCCCAACCCTGCTGTCAGTCCCGTTCTACAACAGCAGCACTATGCAGTATTTGTCCTTTTGTGACTGAAATATTTCACTCAGCTTAATGTCCTCCAGGGTCACCCATTTTGAGTAATATTGCATGAGTTCCTTGTTTTTCAATGCTGCATAGTATTCCATTGTGTGAATATATCATAGCTTCTCTATCCATTCGTTTGTTGATGGGCACTTAGGTTGTTTCCAACTTTTTGCTATTGTGAACAAAGCCACAATAAGCAAGGGTGTGCATATATCTGTCTGGGTGGCTGGCAGTTATGGTTTCTTTAGTGTATATTCCCAGTAGTGGAATTGCTGGGTCAAATGGTATTTCTATTTGCAACTTGTTGAGAAAGCACCACACTGTCTTCCATAGTGGTTGCACCATTTTACACTCCCACCAACAGTGAATAAGGGTTCCAGTTTCTCCACAACCTCGCCAGCATTTGTTGTTTGCTACTCTGTTAAATTTTGCTATTCTTACTGGGGTGAGATGATATCTCATAGTCGTAATTTGATTTGCATCTCTCTAAGAGCTAGGGATTTTGAACATTTCTTCATGTATTTGTTGGCCATCTGAATATCTTCTTTGGTGAAGTGTCTGTTCATATCCTGTGCCCATTTTTCCATTGGGTTATTTACCTTTATCTTGTTATGGTGCTCAAGTATTTTATAAACTCTAGATATAAGTCCCTTATCTGGCAAGTCATTACCAAATATTTTTTTTTAATTTTTATTATTATTTTGTGTGTGTGTGTGTGTGTGTGTGTCTGTGTACCGTCAGATCAGATCTGACTGGTACAGGAGGAGATTGTCCCTCCTTTCCCGGCAGAACATCTGGTGGATTCGAACCATGTGTCTCTGGGATTGCAGTGCAGTTTCTTGCCACTCGGCCACCAGAGCTCCCCATTACCAAATATTTTTTCACAATCTGTGGCTTCCATTTTTACTCTGTTGGAGAAGTTTTTAGATGTGCGACATGTTGATATTCTTTGAATCCTTCCTTCTCCTTGGTCTGGGCCTGACATTTAGCACTTTAAATAATTATGTCCTTGACAGCAGCTTTCCTTGATGCAATATTTAATTTGATTTCTTTTTTCTTTTTGATATAAGTGCTTTTATTTTATATTGGTTTACTTACAAAGTTTGTATGTATTTTTTTCACACTGGATCTTTCACATTTCCTTTACCCATCTCTCCCTCCACCTAGGCAGTTTTGCGATCCTATGATTAACACGCCCTCATTTGGTTTAACTGCTGCTGGTTCCATGGGTGTTATTTGTGAAACTAGATTAAATTCTTGACATCTTCAGTCTTATCTCTATGTATCATGATGTTGACTATACATCCAGTTGTGAGGATTTTTGTTTTGATGTTGAAGTATAACACATACTGAAGACTTTGATTTTGTTCAACAAGTGCTTCAAGTCCTCTTCACTTTCTTTGCCCAAGATTATGTTGCATTGGAGGTACCAACAGTTTAAGAAGCCGGCACAGCTGACGCTTCTCATCCCACTTGTGTGCTCTGCCCCCTTTTGACCATCTTGGATATATGCCTTTTGTGAAGGTCAGTCATTTTCAGCCCTCCATTTACCTGTCTTTCTGCCTCACCCTTCCTAGGTGACCCTGACAGCCTCTCAGGGGACACTGAACACCCTGGCTGACACTCCAGACAGTGTGGTTCAAGGCAGAGGCCAGAAGCAACTGATTATTTCAACCAATAACCGGAAACATTTAAGTTTCATCCTCCAGCATGTGACTTATACCAGCACAGCATACCAGCACCACCGGGTAGACATAGGTAAGATCCTGTCCTTGGACTGCAAACTGCTTCTCATTGCCCTCAAGTCAGAAAGGATAGGACTCATAAGTCTCATAAGTGACCCTCCAGCAGGTTTTAGTTTTTTGGGCCTTATTTGCTGTCCACTCGTGGCCTCCAAGCAAGTTTTTAAGAGGCTGTAAATAGCATGGGAGGAGATTGTTCATCTTTTTCTTAAGCAGCCTTGGAGTTAGCACACAACTTCCTGAAGACTATACTACTTCTTGTTCTGAGTACCATCGAGTTAGAACTGGCTCATAGCTGATACTCCCGTGGGTTTTCAGAGGCTGTAAATCACGTGAAAGGAGATTGCCCATCTTTCTTCCATTAAGCAGCTACTGAATCTGAACTATACGCCTTTGGATTGACTCCTTACCTCTGGGAGGCAGAAAACACCAATGGGCCCTGTCAAAGTCTTCCTTCTCTAGGAAAGCTGGCCTGCATTTACAATTCTTCCCTTGCTCCTGTTTCTAGTCCCAGTTGTTCCACACAATCCTAAAGTCCCTGGGTGCTGCAAGCAAGGTGCTCTAATGGTGCAGTGCTTAAGCGTTCAACTGCTAACTGAAAGGTGGCCGCTCCAAGGGAGAAAGATGTGACAGTCTGCAACTGTAGCAATTACAGCCTTGGAGGCCCTGTTGAGCAGTTCTCTGTCCTGTACTGTCCTGTAGGGTTACTACAAGTTGGAATCGAGTTCAGAGGGTAGTGCAAACATATTAGCTATTAACTGAAAGGTTGATGGTTAAAGTCTGTTCACAAGTGCTCTGTTGCTGAAAAGTTATCCATTAAGAACCACACGGAACACAGTTCTGTCCTGACACACATGAGCTCACGGTGAGCTGGAATGGATTTGATGACAACTGGTTTTGTTCATTTTAGTTAGTGACAGTCAAAATTTAATCCAGATCTTCTGAAGCCAAGCTAGTACTCACTCCACTCCACCAGGTTCTTCTAGGAGAAGAAATAGGGATTAAGGAGGCATTTAGCAGGGCCACTCAGCAAATTAGGAGCCTGAATGAGATTGGAATCTAATTCATAAATCTCTGGGCTCCTCAATCTCGTTCCAGTCAGTATTTCCCTACCAAACCTTGACTCCTCCATCAAGTCAGCGTCCTGGGGCAGTCTGGAAGGTCATCCAGACTTGCTGGTGCCCACGCTCTCATCTCTTTTTCTTTTTTTCTTCCAGTGAGTTTGGAGTCTGAATCCTCAGTGGCCAAGTTTCCAGTGACTATCCGATACCCTATCATCCCGAAGTTATATGACCCAGGACCAGGTAAGACCCTTGTCTCTGGGGCTCCACAGTGAGACCTTGCAGAGCTATTGGTGAAAGTCTGAAAGAATCATCTCAGACATGGAAGAATCAATGAAAATAACAATCCTGATATGACTACTAAATTGATAAGCTATATTTTAACAGAAAAAAATTCTAAGACATTGTCCTCTAATATCACTTAAATATAATTTATATGATATATGATTTGTGCTTACTCAGAAAAAAAGATCACCAGTGAATGATAGCATTTTAATAAGTAATTATAATAAAAACCAATGGTACTTAAGCAGGAATAGATATTTATCAATGGCAGCAAATAGAAAATCCGGTAATAGACACAATACATGCTGGAGTTTCATTGAGGAATTAAGAATCACCTGGCATAAGACTGTAGGGTAATCCCAGCACTATTTATTTCATAATCCATCCTTCTCTTTCTCCCTGGCTTATTTTGCCACTTCTTTTTTTCTCTCCTTTCTTTTTTTTAATTATTCATTTCAATGAACACTAACAGAGATTTTGGATTTCCATTCATTCATTGTTGCACTTTTCTCCCCGCCCACCCACCCCCAGCCCCAGTTCGCTCTTCTTTAAAAGCAAAAGAAAAGCTCCATCATTATTTTGCCACTTCGATAACACATCCCATATCTGCAGGAATCTGAATCTAGACTTGGTGACATTGATGTATTTGTAAACACTTGGATTATTTCCACATTTTCAGATGTTAGAACTGCTTTACCTTTCCAAGTCTCAAAAGCTTTCTGCCGCTCCTTTTAACCTTGTCCACCCGTCTGGCGCGGCCTCTGGTGCAGGGGCAGCGGCCCTCACCAGGGCCGGCAGCTCTCTCCCCTCCCTCCCTACCCATCAGATCCTCAGTGCGCCTGCCATGGCTTTACTCACTGCGGCTGCCCTGCTCTTTGGAGCCAAGAATGCATCCTATCTTGTTCTTGCTGCTCGGCATGTCAGCGCTTCCTCTACGAATTTGAAAGACCTATTAGCTGACTGGTCCTTGGAGAGCGACATCATGCTTGGGAGGGTGGAGGGCGCAGGAGGGGAAGGCCCTCTAGGAGGTGGATTGATTCAGTGACTGGGGTAATCTGGATGGGTGTATTGGAGACAGTACTATTGGCACAGGACAGAGCAGAGTTTAGGGCTGCTGTACATAGGGTCTCTATGAGTCGGAAGCGACTCGACGGCACATAACAACAACAACAACAACATTAGCTGACTTGATAGCAAGGAGCAGACCAGAGTTAAGACCTTCAGGCAGCAACATGGCAAGTTAGCAGTGGGTCAAATCACTGTGGACATGATGTATGGACATGAGAGGCATGAAAGGATTGATATGCGAAACATCAGTTCTTGATCCTGATGAGGGCATCTGTTTCAGAGGCTATGGTATTCCTGAATGCCAGAAACTACTCCCCAAGGCTAAGGGTGGAGAAGAACCCCTGCCTGAGGGCTTGTTTTGGCTGCTAGTAACATCACAGATCCCAACTGGACAGATCCCAACAGAGGAACAGGTATCTTGGCTCTCAAAAGAACGGACAAAGAGGGCAGATCTTCCACCCCATGTGGTCACTATGCTGGATAACTTTCCCACCAATCTACACCCCATGTCTCAGCTAAGTGCATCCATTACAGCCCTTAACAGTGAAAGTAACTTTGCCCGAGCATACGCAGAGGCTATCAACCGAGCCAAGTACTGGGAGTATATCTACGAAGACTGTATGGATCTCATTGCAAAGCCACCTTGTGTTTCAGCAAAGATCTACCGGAACCTCTACCGGGAGGGCAGCAGTATTGGGACCATCGACACTAAGCTGGACTGATCCCACAATTTCACCAACATGTTAGGCTATACTGATGCTCAGTTCACTGAACTCATGCGCTTATACCTTACCATCCACAGTGACCATGAGTGTGGCAATGTAAGTGCACATACTAGCCATCTGGCAGGAAGTGCCCTTTCAGACCCCTACTTGTCCTTTGCAGCTGCCATGAATGGGCTAGCAGGGCCCTTACATGGACTGGCAAATCAGGAAGTGCTTGTCTGGCTGACACAGCTGCAGAAGGAAGTTGGAAAAGATGTTTCAGATGAGAAGTTACGAGACTATATCTGGAACACACTCAACTCTGGATGGGTTGTCCCAGGCTATGGCCATGCAGTACTAAGGAAGACTGATCCAAGATACACCTGTCAGCAAGAGTTTGCTCTGAAACATCTGCCTAGCGATCCAATGTTTAAGTTGGTTGCTCAGCTGCATAAGATTGTGCCCAATGTCCTCTTAGAGCAAGGCAAGGCCAAGAATCCCTGGCCCAAACATAGATGCCCACAGCAATGAGCAGTGTGCTACTCCAGTACTACAGCATGACCGAGATGAATTACTACACAGTCCTGTTTGGGGTGTCACGCGCACTTGGAGTATTGGCACAGCTGATCTGGAGCCTAGCTCTAGGCTTCCCTCTAGAAAGGCCCAAGTCCATGAGCACAGATGGTCTGATAAAGGTTGTGGACTCTGAATCAGGGTAAAATGGGAGCCTAAGACTGGGGGGACTACCAGAAAGTGAGAAAAAAAATTATTTGAGAGGACCTTTAAAGATTTAAGGTTAAATTGTATCTGAGGCACTGATAATAAGTTGAGGTTAAATTATAAATTAAGGCTTTAAAAGAAGAAAAGTGACTGCTCTTCCCCTAACCGGATCCCTTTCCCTACCTTGGATGAGTTGTCCATCAACTATAGAATGACCAGGACTAATGCATGTGATGATCTGAGCTTGGATTCCTGCCATCTCTGGAGTGGGAATCTGGCCCCTTTTCCCCACAAGCTGGTTGCAGAGACTCTGCAGTTACTTTAGAGCTTTTTGTTCTACTCTGTCTAACCCTCAGTATGCCAGCAAACCAGGACTCTGCCCCTTCCATTTCCATAGGAATCATGTGGTTTGTCAACTATATAAAAACTATATTGCCCTCTCCCATGCACATAGACACCTTCAGTAAGACCTGTTGATTAATTGGAAACATTTTTGCAAATTTTTGGCTTTTTCTTTTTTTTGCTACCAGGTGAGCGTAGAAGCCATGGCATTTGTTGTTATTAATGGCTATCAGTGTTTGTTTTGTTTTTTAAAATTATTCCATTAAAATTACGGTCTTGAGGGTCTTTTGTTCCCTACCTTTCAGACTTTCTACCTGCTTTGTCTCAGGCTAAAGACATTCTGGGCCTTCTCTTGGTCCTACTAGCAACCCCTTTCAGCAGGTTGTATATGCCACTAGCTGATGACTGTATCAGTGCTGACTGTAATCGTTTTACTTCCATGGAACATAAGCCACTACTATCCAACATTTTTTTTTAGTATGTGTAGGGCATATAGACCTAGGAATGACCAGGATGATAGCGTCCCAGGAGTCACCTTTTTTATTTTGAGCAGGGACATTATTCAAAATTTGATATGGTCCCCTTTGATTATCAGGTCCTGGGTTTGAGGAATTAAAAATAATAAGCCTCCCTCCCCATCCCTTTTTTATTTATCAAGGTCCTTTTCCTGCCTCTTCCCCAAGAGTTCAGAGTATAGTGCTTATTCTAGGAGCTCCATTTACACAGGTTTTCAGTGACTCTGAGTGCTCTACTGCCTTTTCCTTGAGAAAGGACTGAAACACACTCCTGCTGTGCCCTCTCCCTCCCTCCCAACTCCTGCCTGTGTTTGTGTGGATCCCCAATTCCCAGAAATACACTGTTGAGATGGACACACTGTCTGCAAACCCCTGGGTAACTGTTAAGTCCTGTTGCAGACTTCAGGTTATTCTGTATAAAATGAAAAATAAATGTTTTTATTAACAGTAAAAAAAAGTTTTCTGCCTTTGACAGAGCATAGACTTACCACTTTTTTTTTTAATCTATAGAGCTACATCTTTTTTTTATAGCATTTCTTTGACTTATTATTTTCCTAACAATACTTTAATTCTTTTTTTCTCTGACACGATTTCTAGAAAAAATCCTAGCTCTGGGCCCACAGACCCACTGAGACACTTAGCCTCTTCAGCCTGCTTCTGACTCCAGAAGACAGAAGGCTATTTATTTATGTTCCTTGGGAGAAATGGACTCTGTTTTTTACTATGATGATATCTTTATATTTTTACATTTTTTTTTTCTATAATTATATTTTATTAATTTTCATAAACATTTACAGAGATTTTGGGCTTCCACTCATTCATTGTTGCACTATTCTCTCTACCCTCCTCCCAGTTTGTTCTTGTCCAAATGCCACAGTGCTTGTCAAAGCCAGTTCTGATTAATCTTATTTGTCAGTGTATCCTTTGCCATTCCCTATCACTCCTCCCTGAGAGAGACTTCACCCTGAGTCATAAGGAAAAGGGGACGGCATATTCTCTTAGCTACTTCCTGCTGAAAAGGGACGCTGTGGGTTTCAGGGTGAAGATCTTCTCTCACTACTCTAAAGGGCCCCTTTGGTAGTAGGAAACACATAGACTATTATGTAGATTGATTTTGGAATTCAGATGCACTCTTATTGATTGTGCTTGGCTGTACATGTACATATCCTTCAAGATGTATCATGGGGGTGTTGCAACCTAGAAGACACAAATTTGACTAACAAGTTATAAGTACATGAGTCCAAAAATTATGGAAAAGTAAAAGAAAAGATTCTTTCATTGTTTTACAAACCCTCCCCCAGGTCCCCTCCACCATGCAGCCCTCGCTCTAGTCTCCTGTGATGACAGAAATACCCAGTTACATCTCTCTTTTAGACGGTTCTCTCCCTCCTCTGTTTCAGTGCAGTATACATTATTGAACCCATCTTACTCAGTGTCTCCCCAACCCCAAGGACAGTCACATTCTACAACAGTGGCATCATGTAATATTTGTCCTTTTGTGACTGGGATATTTCACTCAGCATAATGTTCTCCAGAGTCAACCATTTTGAATAATATTGCATGAGTTCCTTGTTTTTTAATGCAGCGTAGTATTCCATTGTGCGAATATATCACAGCTTCTCTAGCCATTCGTTTGTTGATAGGCACTTAGGTTGTTTCCAACTCCTTGCTATTGTGAACAAAGCTGCAATAAACATGGGTGTGCATATATCTGCTTGGATGTCAGCTATGGTCTCTTCAGGGTATATTCCCAGTAGTGGAATTGCTGGGTCAAATGGTATCTCTATTTGCAACTTTTTGAGAAAGCACCATACTGCTTTCCACAGGGGTTGCACCATTTTACACTCCCACCAACAGTGAATCAGGGTTCCAGTTTCTCCACAACCTCGCCAGCATTTGTTGCTTGCTGTTCTGTTAAATTTTGCTATTTTGACTGGGGTGAAATGATATCTCATAGTTGTTTTATATATTTTTACATTTTATAACTCTCACTATACATATTTTCAAATGAAAGGAATCTCAAAGAAGAAACTTCTACCACCAACTTGGCCAGAAGTCCCAAACTTTGACTGTATTATGGCAACTCCCGTTTCTGGTTCTCTCTCTGCTGTAATAAAAGAGCTCTACACTTTATCCTATGACCTAAGAAAAGAAAGGAGAGGATTCAAGTGACATGCTCTTGAACAAAAATTGTTTTCACTGATGTCTTTTCCTTCTCCATCATCAGACGCAGAAGAAGCAGTCATTACAGTGTGACATATATTAAAAGGAAAGTTCTAGGATGATTTCTGGTTTTCATCACTCTTAAAAAGTAGTTCTGCAAGGGAGCTCTGGTGGCCTAGTGGTAAGGAGCTGCAACTACAATTCCAGAGGCGCACGGTTCGAATCCACTAGATGCTCTGCTGGAGAAGGAGGGACAATCTCCTCCTGTACCAGTCAGATCTAATTTGATGGTACACTCACACAAAAATAATTAAAAAAAATTAAAAAATATTTAAAAAATAAAATAAAAAAGTAGTTCTGCAACAAAGTTATGGAGCACTAAGGTACAAATAATAAATAGGTCAGGTGGACTTTCAGGATGTGTGGTTCTTACTAACCTCACACTCACCCAGATATCATATGGGTTCCATCAATAGGTGGGGTTCCACAAATAATAGAATAGCAGCTGAATCCAAAACAACCCCCCCCCCGACAGCTCCACAGGTTGCATCATGGGATCTTATCCATAAAAAAACTATTCCTTCTCTAATCTTTTATACAAGTCACAGGCATTAAGGTGGACAATCTGATCCACATCTTCAATCTCTGTTATTGTTAGGTGCTGTTGAATTGGGGATGATTCATAGCAACCCTCTGAACAACAGATCCTGTCCTGTCCTGTACCATCCTCATAATCTCGGACTCACTTGAACCCATTGCTGCAGTCATTGGGTCAAGCCACCTGGTTGATGAACTTCCTCTCCTTTGCTGACTCTCCACCTTTCCAAGCATGATATCTCGAAGCAAGAAATACTGGTTTCTCCTAGCAACATGCCCAGAGTATGTGAGATGAAACTTCATCATCTTTGCCTCCAAGGAGCGCTCTATCTGTACCTTCTCCACGACATATCTGTTTCTTCTGTTGGCATCCCCTGTGATATTCAGTACTCTCCTCCAACACCATGGCTCAAAGATATCAATTCTTCTATTTCCAATCATATCCTCCTGAAAATAGAGGGAGCAGACAGGCTTCTCAATAACAGGTGCAGCAGAGGGTGGAGCGGATCTCACGTCCTTTAGATCTTTCTCCACTTCTTGGGTCTTGATGGCCTGTGGGTTTGAACTTCTCAATAGACAAAGGTTTGCCTGGCTCTGCTTCTGGTATTAAAAGCAGAATGCAAGCATATGCTGATAGAAAGTTCATCCTGTAAAATGAAGCATTCAGATAGAGAGAAGGAAGATGTCATAATACCAGGCAAGGGAGCTCCAGGAGATAAAGACATAAAATTTCAGTCAACTGGGTGCATCACAATTATATTGATTTTCCAATCCAGTCATACACAGCAACAACAACAACAATAAAACTGCAAACTCTTTTTAAGCACGGCCAGTGAATTAGGGAAAGGAATCCTGGTGTCATGACGCCTAACACATTGGGCTGCTAACCGAAAGCAGCATCTGGTCCACAGGAGATAGATGGGCCACCTCTACCCAAAATTATTTGCAACCTTGAAAACAAAATGTTATTGTAGTTGTGAGCCATTACATTGGAACTGACTCTTAGCTGACCCTCCACTGGGTCTTCAGAGGCAGTAAATCACATAGGAGATTGCCCTTCTCTCATGGAGCAACTGGGATTTGAACTATGTGCCTTTAGTATTGCAGCACAACTACTTACCTACCACTTGGCCACCTGAGCTCCCTTGGAAACCCAACAGAAGGTCACTGTGAGTCAGAATTAATTAGACAACAGTAACTTATAAAACAACTATGAGATATCATCTCACCCCAGTCAGAACAGCAAAATTTGACAGAACAGCAAGCAACAAATGCTGGTGAGGTTGTGGAGAATCTGGAATCCTTATTCACTGTTGGTTGGAGTGTAAAATGGTGCAACCACTGTGGAAGGTGGTATGGCGCTTTCTCAAAAAGTTGCAAATAGAGATACCATTTGATCCGGCAATTCCAAAGGAATATACCCCAAAGAGACCAGAACTGCCACCCAAGCAGATGTATGGACACCCATGTTTATTGGGGCTTTGTTCACAATAGCAAGGAATTGGAAACAACCTAAGTACCCATCAACAAATGAATATCCAGATAGAGAAGCTCTGGTATATTCACACAACGGAATAGTATGCTGCATTGAAAAACAAGCAATATTATTCAAATTGGGTGACCCTGGAGGACATTATGCTGAGTGAAGTATCTCAGTCACAGAAGGACAAATACTGCATGGTGCCACTGTTGTAAAACAGGACTGACCTCGGGGTTGGGGGGAGACTGAGAAAGATGGGTTCAATAATGTATACTGCATTGAAACAGATGAGGGAGAAAACTGTTTAAAAGGGATATGTGTAAGCACAATTGATAACAGTGCATCTAAATTCCGAAATCAACCTCCACAATAGTCTACGTATTTCCTATTGCCAAAGGGGCCCTTTAGAGTAGTGAGAGAAGATCTTCACCCTGAAACCTACAGCATCCCTTTTCAGCAGGAAGTAGCTAAGAGAATACGCCATCCCCTTTTCCTTATGACTCAGGGTGAAGTCTCTCTCAGGGAGGAGTGATTGGGAATGGCAAAGGATACACTGACAAAGGAGATTAATCAGAACTGGCTTTCACAAGCGCTGTGGCAATTGGACAATTAAAACAGACTTCCAAGGGGGGAAAAAAAAAGAGGAATGAACTGGGGGGAAGGGTAGAGAAAATAGTGTAACAATGAATGAATGGAAATCCAAAATCTCTGTAAATGTTCATTAAAATTAATAAAATTTAATAAAAATTTAAAAAAAGGGATATGTGATTAGGTATTTTTGCCATGATGGGAGTTCAGAGAGAAGGCTGCATAGTGGAGTGGACCTGGGGGAGGGTTTGTAAAAAATGAAAAATTTTTTTCTTTTACTTTTCTTGTACTGGGGGGGAGGGTTGGGAGGGGAGAAAAGTGCAACAATGAATGAATGGAAATCCAAAGTCTCTGTAAATTTTCACTGAAATTTATAACAATAAAAAAGAAAACAACAAAAATAATGGTGAGTTATTTGGTTTATTAGGGAAGGAACCCTGGTACTGTAGTGACTGAAGCATTTGGCCATTAACTGTAAGGTCAAGGGTTTGAACCCACCAGCTATTCTGCAGGATGTGATAGTCTGTTTCTGTGCCAACTACAGCCTTGGGAACCTTTCGGGTCGGTTGTACTTTATTCTGGAGAGTCATTCTGAGTCAGAACCTCCTTGATGGGAGTGAACTGGGTCTGATGAGTTTGCTGCTTTTTTGTTTGGTTTTTTTTATTTTATTTTATTTTTGTGTGAGTGTACCATCAAATCAGATCTGACTGGTACAGGAGGAGATTGTCCCTCCTTCCCCGGCAGAGCATCTGGTGGATTTGAACGGTGCACCTCTGGGATTGTAGTTGCAGCTCCTTGCCACTAGGCCACCAGAGCTTCCCTATGAGTTTGCTGTTTTAGGTTTGAGGCCCACGACCTCTGAAATGTGACATGGAGAAGCTGTTGGGCCTAGACTAGTCACAACAGTGACCTTTTCTGCAAGACAAACTAATATCCACCCTTTCTTTTCCAGAGAGAAAGCTGAGACACCTGGTGACCATCGCCACCAAGACTTTCCTCCGCCCCCACAAGCTCAGGACCCTGCTCCAGAGCATTCGCCAGTACTACCCTGACTTGACTGTGATTGTGGCCGATGACGGCAAAGAGCCCCTGAAAATCAATGACAGTCACGTGGAATATTACACTATGCCTTTTGGGAAGGTACATTTCTCTGAGGTCACAGAGTCAAGTTGTCTCCTGAATAGGTCCGTTTTTCCAAGGAGGCAGGGTCCTGGAATGGGAGGAGATGAAAAGCCCCTCCAAGTCCCTCTGCTGACTCTGGATTCACAGAGAAATCTCATCACCTTCCAATTTCTGCATTAATGGGGTAGCTCACCTAGTCTTTCCTCATATAGAAATTGAGATCCAAGTAGGTAATTTGAAATGTCTAGGTTCCAAAATTTCCTAGCCAGTCTAATTTCACAGCATAAAAGCCTTGCTGTGAATCCCAAACCCAGTGATTCCACCCAAGTGGAAGCGGAGTAAACCTCTCTTTCTCTGCCTCTCTCTCTTCCTATTTCTCTCTCTTTTTTCTTCTCTTACAGTCTTCCTTACATACACATACATTTTCTTCAAGCAAACAGGAAGAAATGGATAAATCAGAACTTTGAACTATTACATTATCTTAAAATCACCTGGGAATCTTTTGAAAATGAAATCCTCAGCACGGGGGTCCAACCAGAATGAAACTATTTGAAACCTGGGGGATGTATCAGAATGCCACACACCCTGCCCCCCCCCAAAAAAAAACATCTTTCAGGTAACATAACAGGAGATGGAAGGAAAGCCACAGAAATGCTATCTGATGAAAAAGAACTTAAATCCATTTATATTGGTCTTCAAAGCAAGGACTTTCTAGTCTTTCTTTGTATTTGCTTCTCAGAGCCTCTGCCTAAAAGGAGTATTGGTGAAATGTAGTTCCTACAAGAAAAAATATTAAATTCTGAATGACTTTTTTCAGCTGAAGATAAAGTCACCAACACTGAATAGAAAATCATTGGCAGTCCCCCTCAAGTGACACCCAGGGCACATGCCATCCCCTTAGATGCCCCTCTGCACTTTTTTTCTTCATATTCCCGTTAAGGCATGGACAGACTCCTTTAACCCAATGCTTCTCAACCAGGGCTTCAGACTGGTTCATTCCAGTTTGGCTCTCAGCTGAAAATTTGCATTTCCACTCCTGATAGGCTGCATCAGAATCTACATTTTAACAAGATCCTCAGGTGATTTGTAAGTATATCAAAGAACCAGGTGGGGTTCTATAAAAATCTCTTGGAGATCTTGGTAAAACGTAGGTTACGGTTCTGTGTACTTAAGGTGTAAAGGTGAAATCTCACCCAGGTATCAAATTGAAATTAAATGGTGCAAAGCCCTATTCTCAGCCTCATTGAACACTGGGTTTATCTGGGAGGTTGGGGAGGGGGGGCGGATCTTTGTGTTTCCATCCCACCTCACACACAGATCTGATTTAATTGATCTGGGTGTAGCCTAGATGTTAGAAATTTGGCTGTTCAAATCCACCAACGGCATCTTGGAAGAAAGATAAGGCTTTTAATTTGTTATTGTTGTTGATAGATGCTATTGAACCAGCTACAACTAGTTGTGACCATATTGACGACAGATCTGAACCTTACGCTATCCAGCACCATCCTCAGGGTCTCTGATATATATGCTTGAAGATCCTGTTGTCACAGTCACTGTGTCAGTTCATCTTGTTGAAAGACTCCCTCTCATCCTCTGACCACCCACCTTTCCCAGCATGATGTCATTTTCTAAGGACTAACTCCTCCTGACAACATGCTTTACAGCCTTGGGAACCCCACAGGCCAATTCTCTTCTGTCCTACAAAGTTCCTATGAGTCTAAATTGATTTGATGGCAGTGGATTGGGTTTGGTTTGGGGCAGGTGACTCTGATATGTAGCCAGGGGTGGTGATCGCTGGTTTAACTTCATTCTCATCTACAGGGCTGGTTTGCTGGTAGGAACCTGGCTATATCTCAGGTCGTGACCAAATATGTACTCTGGGTGGACGATGACTTTCTCTTCACCAGTGAGACCAAGATTGAAGTGCTGCTGGATGTCCTGGAGAAAACAACACTAGACGTGGTAAGGGAGATTCTCTAGAGTAAGCAGAAGCACCCAGCAGGCCCAGCACTAGGACGCACAACAGTACATGTAATCCCCGGGCTACCAAACCATCTAACTTTACTTGTGGTTGTTATGTGCCATTGAGTCACTTATGACTTATAGTGACCCTATGTACAATAGTTCTGAAGTCAGTCCTGTCCCGAGCCAGTCTCACTGACTCCAACACACCCCATTGCCTCAGTTACTGTGTCAATCCGTCCCATCCGGGGCCTTCTTTTTCTGTGCTATCCATCCAACCTTCTGAGCATGATGCCTTTCCCAAATGACCAGTCCCTCCTGGCCACATGCCCAAAGTATGTGTGATAGGGGTTCAAAATCCTAGCCTCCAAGGAGAAACTTGATTTCACCCTCTCCAAGACAGACTTATTTGTTTTCTTTGTAGTCCATGGCATGTTCAAGACTCTTCTCCAGCACCACAACTCAAAGGCATCAATTCTTCTTCTGTCATCCTTAGTCATTGTCCAGTTGTCTGTTACATAGCAAGTAATTGCAAAGACAATGGCCTGGATCAGGTGCACTTTAGGCTCTAGACTGAAATAATGTCTTCTCAGTATTTTGGAGAGGTCCTTGACAGAAGATTTTCCCAATGCAATTTGTCTTTCATTTCCCCGACTACTGGTGCCAAGAATGTTAATTGTGGAGCAAAGCAAGCCAAAATTGTTAACAACCTCAATCTTTTCTCTGTCTATCATGGTGCTGCCAATTAGCAAAGTGAATATTTGTCTTCTTGATTTTGAGCTTTAATCCATATTGAAGACTATAGTCCTTGACCTTCTGCAGCAAGTGCTTCAGATCCTCCTCGGTTTTAGCAAGAAAGGTTGTGTCATCTGCATAACCTAGGTTGTTGATGAGTCTTCCTCCAATCCTGATGCCACATTCCTCCTTATAAAGCCCAGCTACCCAAATCTTTTCAGAACACATCCCTGTTTCAATACTTTAATGATATGATATTAATTTTTTTCCTTTTTTTGTAATTTTAATGAAAATTTACAGTAAAGTTGGATTTTCATTCTTTCATGGTTGTACATTGTTCCTCCTTACCCCCTAGTTCACTTTAAATATATATTTTTTTTTCATTCATCATTGCATGTAATATTAAAATATTATATAAATGTGCCCTCACTTTGAAACAATTGAACCAACCTCTACTTGGAAACAAATTCATCATCACTGTCATCTCCACTTGTTGCATCTGTAGATCTAAATCATTGAACTGTTTGAGACTTTTCTTGCATTAAATATCCCCTCACCTCCAACAAACAAAACCCAACCTGCCATTAAGTCAGTTCAATTCATAAAGTAAGGCTACAAATAAGAACCCCATGTATCTGTTCTGATTTACCCACAAACCCGAAGGCTTACTGAGACTTAAGACACTCTTACGAATGGCTCTCTTTCTGACCTGGGGGCTTGATTGTATCAGAGGTATAATTTAAAATGTAGCTATCAAAAGGGTGTTATTCTTACTGTAATTGAGGTGTCATCCAGTAAGTCTGGCTGCAAGAGAGTATCACATCTATGCTCTTTAATGAGGATTTATCTGACCACTGGGTAGGTAGGTGGCAGTGTGCTTGGAAACGTGTTCCAGTTTAAGCTGTTGCTGGAAAAGAGTGAGAATGGGGATTGTATTCACCGGAGAACAGGATCCTTCCAGCGTCTCGACGGCTTCCCCAACTGTGTGGTGACAAGTGGTGTTGTCAACTTCTTCCTGGCCCACACTGAAAGACTCCAAAGAGTTGGCTTTGATCCTCGCCTACAAAGAGTGGCTCACTCAGGTGAGGAGGTTGGAAGAATGAAGGAGGGAGCTGGGCTGTGAATTCAGGAGGTTAATTCCGAGTGCCAGGCCTTACTGATGAGGAGGTTTTTTTTCTTAGCAACAGTAGGTTTCTTTTTCACCCCAAACTGAGGGAGCTCATAGTCTCTCTTGCCTCATCCTTTACTCTCATAGACATCTGTCTATCCCGTAAGCTGTCTTTGACTATCTGAGAAATGTTTTCCCTTTCTCTCCATACATCTCAGTCTTTTCCATCTTTACCTACTCTGCTTCGTTGTCTCTTTTCCCTGAAATCTTTGTTGTTGTTGTTGTGTGCCATCGAGTCAACTCCAATCATAGCGACCCTATGTACAATAGCTCCAAACCCTGTTCTATCGAGTGAATTTCATTGTCTCTGACACACTTACTCCTATTACCCCAGTCACTGAGTCAATCCATCTCATCCAGGGTCCTCCTCTCTTGCATTGTCCTTCCAGCCTTCCAAGTATGATGTCCTTTTCCAAGGTCTGGTCCCTCCTTGCAACATACCCAAAGTACGTCAGACAGAGCTTCAACATCTTTGCCTCCAAGAAGCAGCCTATTTTCACCCTCTCCAAGATGGACTTGTTTGCCCTCTTAGCAGTCCATGGTATATTCAGTACTCTTCTCCAGTACCATTGCAATTCTCTCCTCTCTCATTCCCTTACGCCTGGAGTCCACATCTGTCCACTTGTAAAGCTCATTTGTGTCTCTCTGGTTCTGTGCCTATAGCTCAGCCTGAGATATGAACTTATTTATTTCCTTCCTATCATTAGCAGTTTCCAAGAGTTAAGGGTGTGGATCCTGCCTGAGGCTAGCTCTCCCAGGGTCTCTCCTCTCAGTTCTAGCTCTCTAACTGAAGCTCTCAACTCCTTTTCCTCTTTTTCAACTTCTTCTTTTTCCTTTCAGAGTTCTTTATTGATGGACTGGGGAGCCTGCTTGTGGGGTCCTGCCCTGAAGTGGTTGTAAGTCACCAGCCCCGTTCTCAAGCACAAGACTCAGAGATGGCTGCCCTAGAGAAGACCTACAGCACATTCCGGGCCAACACCTATGACCAGGTCAAGTTCAAATTGGCTCTCCACTACTTCAAGAACCATCTACAGTGCTCCACATAAAAGGTTCAGGGGAAAAGGAAAAGGACTAGACTGCCTGGTTGTGGGTGTGTAAAACAGTGGTTGTCAAGCAAAAAAATGGGCTACAGACCAGTTGGGCATCATAATTGAACCAGCTGGTGGGTGTGGGCAGATGAGACATACACCAGACCTCAGAGCACGCTGAGTTGTATCTTTGATGTTTGCAGGGCACATAAATCACAAGAAAATAAAATGAATCAAGGGATGTGGGTCATTAGAAATGGGCCAATTGCCAACTATGGCAATGAAGAGTGTATTAGTAACAATTGTTATCTTTGTGTGATGCTTTATCACTTTACGAAGCATTTGTACACAGTGTTTCACATCATCTCGTTTGATCTCTCACAAGTGAGTTGAAGTCCACAGTGAGAAGAATGGCTCGTGGGCCCTGGAGGGTTGTTTTACAGATGTTTTATCACAATGCACACAGCACCATCAGCAGCACCGCCACCCGCCCACTTTTATTTGACACTGCCATGTGGACTCAAACAGCGTGAGTAACTCAGGGTCCTTATGCTGGTGAAGTTGCAACCTGGCTCATTTCAGTTCAGTAATAGAATTGGGTGGCCAGAGTCAGCAGATCAGAAAAGGATGTCACCAGGGCCCAGGAAGCTAAAGGCTGTATGGACTAAGCTCGTCCACAGTCTAATGGATGGAAGAAAGAGGAAAAGAGGAAAGCATTGGGAAACCTTCCACCATCGAGAAGGACAAATGTTGTCCCGGCATCAGACATGTTACCACAAAGGCACATTCCAAGATGCCAGGAATGAAATGTGGAACTTGTGCCAAGGTGTGATGAAGAACTGAAATCACTGATGTTTTTAATCCACAGTGTGAGGACAGTGGCAAGTCACAGCCTCCGTGGGACTTGGCACCTGCTGCTCATCACTCCAGAGCCATGTCCTCTCCAGTGCGGAGCTGTCACACGTGGCTGAGGAAGCCTCTTTCTAGACTGTGGGGAGTATGGGTTTTCCAACAGCCCCTTTCAACGTACCTGTGGTTCCAGTGATCATAAAACTATGGAGACTCCTATGGAGGTGACCTCAAGTAGTTCAGGATTTCTGAAAATGTTGGTCGTTTTGCTTTGCCAGATAATACTTTATGAGGTTTTTGGTGAAAGTTTACATAACAAATTAGGTTCTCATTCCGTGATTTCGGTACCAATCATTCAAGTACATTTATTCTGTTTACTGTGGTCAGCATTCCCTTTGTGTTCTCTTTATTCCCATTCCAGTTGTCTACATTTTCTATCCCCTTATCTTTTCATCTTTGCTTTTGAGTCATTGCTGACCTTTTGGCCTCCTGCTGATAGTTTTTAGTTAGGACACTGACCTTCTTGGCCTCATCCTTCATTGTGTGGGCCATTTTGGTAAAATCTCATCTTAGGGGCTGACTGGGCTGGTTCTGAGTGGATCTCACAGGAGGAGTCTCAGGGCGTGCTCTGTTCTTTAATGTTCCAGTTTGTCTGGGGTTTGTTGTTTTGTTTTGCTTTTAAATGAGAACTTGAGTTCAGCTGCACTTTTTCTCCATCCCATGATGTTGTCACTCAGCTCAGAGTGGTCAGTGGTGGTAGCTCGGTACCATCATTCCTGTCTCAGGGTAGATGGGGTGTGGCTTGTACAGATGTGTTTCTTGGCTGGGTTTTCGGTTACCTTCTTACTGTTTTGCTTTTGGAAAGGAGAGCTCTGTAGTCATGTCTTAGACGGCTACTTGGTAGCTCTTATGACCTTACACTCTATTTCACTAGGATGCAGTTCATTGATTTTTTTTAATTTTTCTTTTTCTACTAGTTTATTTGCAGTTTATCATTTTTGTGAACTACTGTGGCTGTTAGGTGCACAGTGACTCCATGTGTAACAGAACAAAGCGTGTCCCAGCCCTGTGCTGGGTGGTGCAATTCTTGTTGAGCTCACTGTTGTAGCCACTGTACCTCTACATCTTGTTGAGAATCTTCCTCTTTTCGAGTGACCCTCTAATTTACCAAGTCTGATGTCTTTCTCCAGGGATGTACCTGCTGATAGCATGTCCACAGTACATGAAACGAAGTCTCGTCATCCTCATGTATAGAGAACATTCTCTCTGGACTGCCTCCAGGACATATTTGTCTGTTCTTCTCCAAGTTCTAATATATTCAATGTTCTTTCTTAGCATCATAATTTAGGGAGCATTGGTGGCCTAGTGGCAAGAAGCTGTTCTGCAATCCTGAAGACACGGGGTTCGAATCCACCAGCTGCTTCAAGTGAGAAGGATGGGCAACCTCCTCCCTGAAAACCTTCCAGAGGGTCAGCTATGGGTCGGTTCCGACTTTATGGTACACAACAACAACAGCATCATAAATCAAATGCATCCATTCTTCTTCTTCAGTCTTCTTTATTCATTATCCAGCTTTTTGTATGCATATGAGATGATTAAAAGTGAGAATGGCTGGGGCCAGGTACATTTAGTCCTTAAAGTTGGATACAACAATTGCTTCTTATCACTTTAAAGAGGTCTTTTGCAGAGGATCTGCCCAGTGCAAGCTGTGTTATGTGAGCTATGTTATGCCAATTGACTGAGTATCCCCATGATACCGTGGGCCTAAACTTTCATATCCAGAAAACCAGTCTTGGGAGGTGCTTGGTGATGTCTGAGTGGTATTTGTGTCTCCGGTGAATAGTGTACTTGCATCACGTATTCACATTTACACATACCTATACCTGCTTCAAAGGAACTCTGAGGGGCTAGTTGGTTAGGCGCTGCTCTGCTAACTGAAGGCTGATAGTTTTAATCTACCAATTGATCTGTGGGAGGAAGACCCAGTCTCCTCTCATAAAGACGGAAATGAATAGAGAGTCACCATGAGTCAGAATTAACCCAATGGCGTTTAGCTTATACTTGTATCTGTTGTCTCCTATGTACGAATCTGGACTTACCCATATAACATGTGCCTGTGTCCGTCCAGATGTGCTCACACACTCACATTTACTTAAGTTGTATTTTGTCAACTGCGTCTACATTTGGTGTCACTTTTTCCATCACCAAAAATATCAAATATCTAGGGTATAAAGTAGGGAGCTCTGGTGGCTTCTTGTTGTTAGGTGCCGTCAAGCAACCCTGTGAACACACAGAGTGAACAACAGAGCTGAACCCTATTCTATGTATGTCAACCTCACATCTTCTGACACACTCAAGCCCACTGCTGTAGTTACTGTCAAATGGTTGAGAGTCTGGGAGTATAGTGGCAAGAAATTGTGCTGCCAATGCAAAGGTCAGCAGTTCAAATCCCACTCATTGCTCTGTAGAAGATGGGCAATCTCCTCCCATGTGATTTACTGCCTCTAAAAATCCACTGGAGTGTCAGCTATGGGTTGGTTCTGACTTGACTGTACACAACAACAATGTCTAAAGTGTACTTATTACCCTCTTCCTCCCCTACACTGGTCTATGTCCATTCTAGGCTTCTTATAAAAGGGGAATCATACAATTTTTACCCTTAAATATTTGACTTCTTTCACTTAGCCTTATGCCCTCCAGACCCATCCATGTTATGTTTCTCAGAAAATCACTGTTCTCTAGGGTTGTATATCCACAGGAGCTTATGAAATATTATACAAAATAGGTGACCCTGGAGGACATTAAGCTGATTGAAACATCTCAATCACAAAAGGACAAATACTGCATAATGCCACTATTATAAAAGATGACTGATATCGGGGTTGGGGAGGAACAAAAAAAAGAGGGGATAAATAATGTACACTGCAGGAAGCTCTTGTGGCCTAGTGGTAAGAAGGTGCACTGCAATCCCAGAGGTATGTGGTTTAAATCCACCAGATGCTCTGCTGGAGAAGGAGGGGCAATCTCCTCCTGTACCAGTCAGATCCAATTTGGCAGTACGCACACACAAAAATTATAAAATAAAATAATAATAATAATAATGTACGCTGCACAGAAACAGGTGAGGGAGAGAACTGTTTAAAAGGGCTATATGATTAGGTATTATTTGCATGACAAGAGTCCAGAATAAGAGCTGCATTGCAAAGTGGACTTGGGGGAGGAGTTATATAACAATGAAATTTTTTTTTTATTTTCAAAGAGAAAAGCAAACTGGAGGGGGGAGGGGCGGGCAGGGAGGAAAATGTGCAACAATGAATGAATGGAAATCCAAGTTCTCTATAAACTTTCATTAAAATCTCAATTAAACAGGAGAGATGCAAATCAAAACAACTATGAGTTATTATCTCACCCCAGTAAGAATAGCAAAATTTAACATAACAGCAAACATCAAATGCTAGTGAGGTTGTGGAGAAACTGGAACCCTTACTCACTGTTGGTGGGAGTGTAAAATGGTGCAACCACTATGGAAGACAGTGTGGCGCTTTCTCAACAAGTTGCAAATAGAAATACCATTTGACCCAGCAATTCCACTACTGGGAATTTACCCTAAAGAAACCAGAACTGCTACCCAAGCAGATATATGCACACCCATGTTTATTGCAGCAATTGTTCACAATAGCAAAGAGCTGGAAACAACCTAAGTGTCCATCAACAAACGAATGGATAGAGAAGCTCTGGTATACTCACATAATGGGATACTATACAGCATTGAAAAATAAGGAACTCATGAAATATTATGCAAAATGGATTAATCCGGAGGACATTATGCTGAGTGAAATATCTCAGTCACAAAAGGACAAATATTGCATAGGGCCATTGTTGTAAAATGGCACTGACATCAGGGTTGTGAGAAGACAGAAAAGGAGGGGAGGAATGATGTATACTGCATTGAAACAGATGAGAGAGAGAACCGTTTAAAAGGGACATATGAATGGGTATTCTTGTCATTACAGAAGTCCAGGGTGAGGACTGCATGGTGGAGTGGACTTGGGGGGAAGGATTGCATAACAATTAAAGTTTTTCTTTTCAAGGAGAGGAGTGAATTAGTGGGGAGGGGGTGGGTGGGGAGAAAGGTGAAACAATGAATGCCTGGAAACCCTAAGTCTCTG